GGCCAACTCTGAAAAAATTCAAGCCATCATCAATATGGAGCCCCCACGCAACGTGAAGGAGGTTCAGAGATTGACAGGTCGCCTGGAGGCCCTCAACCGTTTTCTCTCCAAATCAGCAGATAAGGCCCTCCCCTTCTTTCAAATCATGAGGAAGACAGCAGGCTTCCAATGGACAACTGAGTGTCAAGGGGCCTTCGACGAGCTCAAAAAGTACCTCTCTTCTCCTCCTGTGCTCTCCAAGCCCAAGGTAGGGGAGACCTTATATCTATACCTTGGCGTCAGCCCTGCAACCATCATCTCAGTACTCATCCGGGAGGAAGATGGCGTCCAACATGCCATCTTATATGTTAGAAAGACCCTCAGGGAGACAGAACTCAGGTACTCCCCCGTGGAGAAAACGGTACTAGCCATTGTTTGGACTGTCAAGAAGCTAGGCCACTACTTTCAAGCTCATCCGGTCCAAGTGCTCACACATCAACCCCTCGGCGCCCTTATGAGGAGTCCCACCAGCTCCTCCAGAATGGTCAAATGGGCTATCTTCCTTAGCCAGTACAACATAGACATCCGTCCGAGGCCTGCTATCAGGGGCCAAGCCCTGGAAGACTTCGTCACAGAATGCACCGCGAGATCAGTGGTGAATGAGGAGCCCTCGGCCCCTCTAGACGAATGGTGTACCCTCTATACCGACGGCTCCTCGGCCACCAAAGTGTGCGGAGGGGGAGTAGTTCTCATAACACCCGAGGGCTTCCGCGCCTATTATGCCCTCCGTTTCTCCTTCAAAGTGTCCAACAACAAAGCCGTATATGAGGCCCTCCTCTGTGGCCTTTGGCTGGCAGCAAATATGAAGGCCAGAATGATCCACGTCAAGTGTGACTCCAAGCTTGTCGTGGGCCAAATCTTCGGAGAATATGAGGCCAAGGAAGGAAGGATGAAACAATACAAGGAGGCGGTTAAAGAATTGCTTAAGGTATTTGAGGCACACTCTCTCACCCAAATACCGAGGGCTCAAAATTCTGAGGCTGATATTTTGTCAAAGCTTTCGGCCGAGTCCCCAGAGCACCTCTCCAAGATCGCAAGAATCGAAGAGCTCAGCCTCTCGAGCATACATGCGAGCCCCATTATGGATATACATCTCAGGCCGGAGGACTGGATCTCCGACATCACCACCTTCATTACCATTGGACAATTGCCCGAGGATAAGGCCCGCGCAAAACTAGCAAAACTGAGGGCTCCCAGCTACACCCTCGAGAATGGAAGGCTTTACAAAAGATCTTACAACGGTACCCTCCTTCAGTGCCTTCATCAGGATGAAGTCGAAGTTGCAATGGAGGAAGTACACAGTGGCACTTGCTCAGCTCATCAGGGACCCTTCTCCATGTCCCGAAGGCTCATAGTCTAGGGTTACTTCTGGTCCACCATGGCCCGTGATTGTGCAAATCTTGCCCGAAGGTGCACCGCTTGTCGGCACTTTCAGAAGGCCCCCGATAGGCCAGCAGTCAACTATGCCCCCATCAGCACTGCTATACCCTTCTCCAGATGGGGGATTGACCTGGTAGGCCCTCTGCCGAGGGGTACCTCCAACAACAGATACATCATTGTTTCCATTGACTACTTCACCAAATGGGTGGAGGCCGAGCCCCTCGCTAGCATCACCGAAGCTAGATGCCACCACTTTGTCCTAAAAAACAATCTCACAAGGTTTGGCGTCCCTCAACAAATCATCTCTCACAACGGGACTCAATTTGAGGCAGCCCCCTTCTGTGCCCTTCTAGAGGCATGGGGCATCAAACACACATTCTCTTCGGTTGTCTACCCTCAAGGCAACAGACAGGTAGAGAACGCCAACTGAACTTTGCTTCAAGGCCTAAAAAAGAAGCTTGAAGCCGAAGGGGAGGCTGGGTAGAAGAACTCCACAACATTCTTTGGGCTTATCGAACTACCCCCAGATGGGCAACAGGCGAAACACCCTTCTCCCTCTGTTACGGATTCGAGGCGAAGGCCTCTACGGAGGTAACTCTACCTACCCGAAGGGTAGATCAATATGATCCCGAGATCAACAACGCCAACATGGCCCTCGACCTTCACCTCATCTCCGAACGCCGTGAACAAGCCTTTCTAAAGGCGGAAAACTACCGAAGACAGGTCAAAGGCTACATCGACGCCAAGGTTCGCTCCCGAGAATTTCAGGTGGGGGACTATGTTCTCCGAAGAAGGGAAGCTAGCCAACCAACCGAGGGCGGTAAAATGGCACCAAAATTTGAGGGTCCATACATCATTGCAGCCGTCATCAAACCGGGAACCTACAAGCTCAAACGCCCCAACAGGACCGAGGTCCCCCGACATTGGAATTTACACCATCTAGTTAAATTTTATCAGTAATATTGGAGTGGCCAAGCCCTCATAACTAATGAATGTATTATCCTACGACTCAAGGCCCCCGAATTTTGAAGAATGAAGACATGTTGAAGACACCAAGCACAAAGAACATGACACATGAGCGGCCAAGCCCTCATGCAAACTCCTATCACAAGACCCCCCCGACACCAAGTGCCGAGGGTGGACCCTCGCGCCATCTCCGACAAAAAACAAAAAAAAACACCAAGTGTTTTTAAGGAAGACCCCTCGGTACCAAGTGCCGGGGGTACTGTGTGCAAAAGGAAAACACCAAGTGTTATTTTTTAAGCCGTACCCCTCGAGGACGCATTTATGCTGAAGGCCCCACCTATCGGCGCCGGAGGTACCAAGTACCTCGGCCTTTTTTTGTAACTAATATGCAAATAAAACCCTTCCTGAAACGCTTTCCGCACCATTACCCCAAGGGAATGGCAGGTAACTAATATGCCTCAGGACTCGACTTTCAAAAATGAAACGCTCCCCGCACCATTACCCCAAGGGAATGACAGGAAACGGACTATGTTTCGAGCTGAGGGGGTGACTTTCAAAACTGAGGCGCTTTCCGTGCCATCCCCCAAGGGGAGGCAGGCAATGGACTATGTCTCGTGCCGAGGAAACGACCATCGATCCCCTCAGGATCCGGAAGGTTAACCCGATGGGGGAGCTAATGGTGTATACTGTTGCCTCCCGATAGGCCAAGCCTTACCAAGAAACCAAGTTTCTTGAAGCCTCCCCTTCACCATATTCCCCACAAAAAAACAAAAAAATGGGTGAAGGGGGGTAGGCTCAAAGAGCAATCAATGAGTACAAACTCCAAAAAAATGCACCTTTCGGCAGCTAGCAAGGATTATCATTACAAAGCAAGAAGAACACACCAAGGGCTCCCATGGGAAAACCTCCGGTATCCAAGAGCTACTAATTCCAGGTGCCACCCCTGGCAATGGCCCTCATCCCAAAGGCCACTATTCAACAAATGTTGCCAAAATGTGGCTAAGTCCACAATCTGGTTGCCCCCAGCATCAACTGACATTGAAGGCTCCAAACCCACACAAGGGTTAAAATTCCAAAGTCCAGGCAACAATTGCCCCCGGTATTGCAAGCCAACGCCAAAAGAATACTCCAAAGCGTCGCTCGAGGGCACCTGTCTTTACCATGCTATGGTTGGACTGCAAAATTCCTAAGTCCACACTTTGGGATCTACCTAATCCGAAGGCTCACATGGTACTCAAGGAGCGAGGGCATCTACTACACATTACCGGAATCCAGTACTCACAAATCAAGGGAAATTATTCTGTCCACAAAATTGGGTGCCCCCGGGATCACCATTCGTTGCCAAAAGAAATCTTACCTACAAGCGCTACAATCCGGAAGGTCCCATTCACCGAAGGCCAAGTGACGAGCCACACATAGAAATTTTTCTAAGTCCTAAATGCTTGGCCCTCTGTCAAATTATTAGGCCATCCAGGGGGATCTAATAACCGAAGGCCACATGATGCACATCACTTGGAAAAACTTTCTAAGTCATAAAAGATCGGCCCTCGGTCAACTCAACATTCAACCGAAGGCTCAGTGGTAAAACTACTTGAAAAACATCCAAGTCCTAAAACTTAGGCCCTCGGTCAGCTCGAGACATGCATACGGACTGAATGGAGACATCAGCCGAGGAATCAGCAATGGACATTACTTATATAATTTTCTAAGTCCTGAACTATCGGCTCCCGGCCACCAACGAGTGAAGGCTTACGACTCACACAACAGAAGGCATACGAAAGAGGATGTCCACCGAGGGCGAAAGTTGTGAGCAACACTTAGAAAAATATTCTAAGTCCTAAAAAAATTTTGGGCCCTCGGTCAACTCATGCCAGCTACCCAAGTTCAGAAGGAAGCATCAACCGAGGGCTTAGTACTGAACAAACACTTAGAAAACTTTTCTAAGTCCTAAATGGCTGACAATTCGAACATCAAAATACGGAGGCTGAAATCCACAAGGAAAATACGAAAGCAATCATCCACAAGAAAAATACGACGACATTCATTTACAAGAACAAAAACGAAGGAATTCATTCAAACAAATAAACAGGGAGAAGAAAGCATTCATTAAAAAAATGAAAAAATGAATTGTTATACATATGGTTGAAGCCGAAGGATCATGAGTATTCATTACAGAGATTGTTCAAAAATTGTTAAAGCACAAATCATGGATGGCCAACTTCAGCGGTAACCTCTTCGGTTGGCTTGGAAGAGACGTCCCCTCCGGCCTCCTCTTCATCCCCGGCTTCCTTCAGCAGCTCAGAATCTTCTAAGTCTGGCCTCTCGACATCTGCAGGGAGGGGGACTCTGATGTCTGGTTGGAGGGGGGGGGGGGAGGCCATATGCTGCCGGATCAAAAGCCTTCGGCTCAATCTTTAGGTGCCGGGTCAGCCTTCTGTAGATGAGGGCCTGAGTAATGAACTCCCCCCAGCATAATAGTCCTCACCCTTCCGGGCCAGCCACATTGCCCCAGGGCCTTTCACTCACTCATCAGCAGACGCCTCCACTACCGAAGCCACCCTGTCCTTGTGGCCTTCGGCCCTCCACCCCTCGGAGATGAAGGCAGCAACACCACTGGCAGCAGCTTCCGCCTTGGCAGCCTCGGCCTCATCAGCGGCCCTCTCACCTTCAGCTTTCTCCTTGGCAGCTCTCTCTGCCTCATCCCTCGCCTGCCGGGGGTCCTCTTCTAGCCGGGCCATCTGCCTCACGGCGTCAGCATTGTCGTGGATAAGCTTCTTCATGGCTTCATTATGTTGTGCCTTTTGAAGATGCCATTCGTCAAACCTCCGGGCATGCTCACCGAGGGCTATGCAGGCCTGTTAACAATGACAAAGGAGTTAGTTTACTACGCAAAAAGAAAAAAAAGGAATGAAGGAGAAGAGAAACTTACAGTAAGAGAGGACCAGAGGATCTTAGATTCGAGGGCCTCGTCGTCAAGCTTGCTGAGGGCTTTCCTATCCAGCAAAGGAGTAGCCCCGCTCAGAAACTCCCGATGGTCCACGATGCCATGTGTAATGGCGGCCCCCTTCAGCAGGGAGAACTGTATGTCCTCCCAGAGCAAGCCTACTTCGCCCCTCTGTGCCGAGGGAAGGCTGGAGGCAATAGTGTCCACCAAAACTTGGGGCTGAGAGGTGGAGTGCTCATCCACAATTACGACCAGGGGGGTCCTTCTTTTCTGCATCCCCCCTCTTCAGCTTCTTGCCGCCGGGGGCAACTCCCTTGCCGGCCGCCTTCCTCTTGGCGGCGGCTGCGGCATCATCGGAGGGGGCGGTCGAGGGATCACCCCCCTTCCTGAAGAAATCGCCGACGGTCTTCTGCTTACCCGTCTCCTTCTTTCCCTGGACCTTCGCCTTTTGTTTCTTCAGGGCAGCGAAGGAGTTGATGTACATGTTAACACCTGTGAGACAACACAAGTAAATAAGGCAGAGGGGTCAGGCTAAAAGAAAAATAAAAGACGCAAAAAAAAAATCTCTCTAAGTGCCAAAAATTGAGCCCCCGGGAACTACCTCTTGTGCTCTCGAAGGCTCGCTCCAGGAGGGGATACTTCTCATCCGTTTCCCCCAGGAAGCGATAACGCCGGAAGCCAAGGAGGTACAGATCATCCTCGAGGGTTATCTCCTTGACCGTCACATGTTTATCCCGCCCCACCGGGATAGCAGATATCTTCTTCCCCCATTTTTCAAGAGCAGCACTACCCTCCGGCTTTACATGCCTCCTGAAATAATTCCTAAGCACCCTCGGGAACGGGTTATCTGCCATCTTGATATAGCAGAAGCGGTCCCTCCAGCCTTTGTGAGACGAGGGCACATCATCAAACAGCCTCCACGGAGCGAGCTGCTGTAGGTTCACAAACCCCTCGGAATTTGCATGACCCCCCAGCAGAGGTTAAAACTTTGGAAAAATAAATCCAAACTGGGAGTGGCCCCTCGGGACTTGCATAGGTTCAGGAAACCGGCGATATATGAATGGCTATTCGGGGTAAGTTGGCAGGAGGCTAGGCCAACATACCTGAGGTATTCCAAAAGGAAGGGATGGAATGGGAACCGGAGGCCCATTGAGACAGAGAGAATATGTACGGCGGTGTATCCCTCGGGCGCCTAGGACAACACATCATCAGGCCTCGGTTGTACCACCATCACCGAAGGCCCTACGTGTAGCTGTGTAACGTAGCACTCGACCGGGTCAGCTCTAGAGTTAATCGCGAGAGCGACTGTATTCAGCCATGAATACCCTTCGGGAATCCCCACAGGTTTCCCTTGGTCGACAGCTCCCCCTTTCTTCTTGGGCCCCCCCATCTTCTTCTTGTTTTTCTTCCCGGGAGCTACGCTGATAGGCGTCGGGTCTAAAGGCCGAGAGGTGCTGGCTTCTCCAGCATTGCGTGCGGGGAGGATGGCAACGGTGACCTTCTGCCTTTCTTTCTCCTCCTCCTGGGCCGTCTGTAGGGTGAGGGCCATTTCCTCATCTTCAATCACTTGTTCGAACTCCTCCGCCTCGGCCTCTGCCACTAGATCTTTCTGCACCTCCAGAGCCACAGCAGCAACAACACCCACCGAAGGCTGCTCGCTCGAGGACTCCACGTGGGAAATACTTTCCTCTTCAGCCGAGGGTTCCCTCGAGATGTCCTGAGATTCACTTTGCGACGACATTCCTGACGAGTCAAAGGATTCAAGGGAAGACAATTTTCCTAAGGATTTCTAAACACTAGATGTAAGGCTGGCTAAGCAAATTATGCGAGGAGTGTGAAAAAATGAAGAAAAACTGACCTCAGGAACTTGGATTCGATCGAGTTGGACACTTTCTCTCTCTAGAAAAAATTGGCCAGGGCTTCACTAGAACAAATGAAACGCGTAAGGGAGGAATGACCCTGACAAGGGGTATTTATAGCCTCCCTCAATCTGGGCCAGGGCTTCAAATTGGGCTCCCAGTTACAAAAATCATCATTGCGCGCCGTCTCTTCAGCTAACCGGTGACACCCGCCCGCAGTCAACCAACGGGTACACGCCACGTGGACACCACCTCCAACGGCTATATCCCAACGGTCATATTCCAGCTGTCATGACCCAACGGCTCTCTTTCACAAACTAAGTTCCCTCACCTGGCACCCCTCAGACAACACCATTCATGCCTTCGAGCTTTCTCCTTCAGAATCCTTCATCAGGAGGAGCCCTCGACTAAGCAACGGGTAAACCCCTCAGCCCCCCAGCCCTCAGCATGTTGAAAACCAGGGAACCCCTCATCTGTGGTTAGCCTCCGGTACACAGGGACAATCACCGGCATTCATCAACAGAGATCACGCCCTCAGCCTCATTGGCTGGGGGACTACCCTCGACAGTCCCCGGGATGCTCACTCATGCTTATCAACTACGAATGCCTTCGGAAGAGTGCTCTCAGCAGGCACTCCCTTCAATACCTCCGATATATCAACAATTAGCCTTCGGCAAAATTAGCGACCAAACCCTTAGATCACGGATAGCTCTCGGCGGCAACATTGCTCTTCACCTCAAACCAAGAGCTCGCCTTTTTGATTCATCATTGGGGGAACGCGGTGCACTCTTTTTCCCTCATTAGGATTTTTTCCCAAAGGGATTTTCCTAATGAGGTTTTTAACGAGGCATCCCCCCAAAATGAAACGAAAAGAACAAGGCTTCGGCTTCGTGATGAAAGCAGGCACCCCTCTACTCCTCTTCACCACATTACATGTGCCTCAAGGAGTGGGGGACTGGAGGACCCCTTCGGGAAATCCACAAAATTACGAATGTAAAAATTTTCCTTCAGCCCCAAGATGTGGGGGACTGAGGGACTGCCCTCGGAAAACACGCAGGCGCAAAACTCCTCACCACTTTTACAAACTACAGCAAGGTAGTATCAAAGGACAAACACAATTACTCCTTTTCCCTCAAGTACCTTTCGGCAAAAGGAGTGAGGGACTCCCGATGGAGTATATGGCCCAGGGACCCCCGGCCCATAGACTCCTACTACTCCAACAAGAGTCCAACAAGCTCAGGAAGCACAACAGGCCCAAGGCACAGCTCCCCGAGTAACAGGAAGCCCACGGTTCCCATACAGACGCCCTCGGCCCCATGGCCGAGGACAGCTGGCTTAGACATACGAAGCCACTGGGAGAAAACAACGAAATCAGTGGCCTTCGGCACTAGGAGCCCCTCGGTACGCAGAGCCTTCAGACTATCATCTACAGCCGAAGGCGTCCTCCTCGACAGAATCTCCCATCCACATGCGCTGGATCAACGTACCAAGTACAAATGTCACATCCAACCACCGCATTTAATGCGGCCACATGCGAGTGCCAGTGCCACCCCATTGAGGTGACCCCTCGACCACCAGAATGATGACACGTGTCCTTATCTAGCATTTATTGCTGCTATAAATAACACAACTTTCCCCACTTGTAAACCACGCTCAATACAACTAAAGTTCACATAATCGAATACTTTCTCTCTCTTGCTTATTTGCTCTGACTTCTCTCTAGCTACTCCCCGCAGTAACCCCTCGGATAAGCTACCCCCGGGTACACTATCCATCACATAAGTCTAAGGTTCTATACAAAATTATCATTTGATGTATTAAGCATGTTCTTATTTGGATTCCTTTCAGTTCCAAACCAGATCAGACTTAAACAAGTTAGACCACACCAATTTTTGGATATACCTAAAGATTGGGAGTTTCGGACAAAGGAGAGTTGTGCAGTTTTTAAGAAAAGTAGAGTTATGTGGTTGATAATAGATTGATAAAGTGGGAATAAAGTAAGAATAGAGCCACACAAATATAACTAATTATATTAGTGGAACGGATGAAAAAAGAAAAATGAGACAATTAAACTTGGATGGAGGGAGTAACAAATACGAAGTATTCGGATTTTAATAACCACGCAATATAAATTATCGCAATTTTTTGTATTTTTTTTCTTTGTTAAATATCTTTCCATTACAATGTGTTGCCTACACATAAATGTGAAATGATCGTAGCCTCACATCGAGGGTAAGACTTATTTTTGGAACAAGAATAGGGATGGATCGGGCCCGGCCCGCCCGGCCCGTGAACCGGCCTGGCCCGGTCTAGGGTAACCGGTTCCGGGCCTAGGCCCGGTTGGGGGATTGGGCCGGGCACGGCCCTTAATTTAGTGAACCGGCCCTGCCTTTTGATATTTGTGTTTGCTTCCCCTTGCCTTTGTCTATTTTCGCATACTCCACAAAGTGGGCGGACTGAAGATGTCTTTTGAGACTCCCGTATCTGCCAGAAGTTTCCAAGCTAAACTCTTTTTTGCAATGATTGCAACTTGCGTACCATTTTTCGATATTTTCGTCTTTCCTTTTTGTATAATTGTTTTCAATAATAGGAGATTTAGATTTCGTACCAATTTGGGTTGTAGTCGTTGAACGGCCCTCGTCCTCCAACTCTTGCTCATCATCCGGGGTGCCGTGAGTCCCGTCGCCCCCCGCGTCCTCCTCCGCATCGTCATCCTCGAGCTCCTCTTCATCGATGGTTGTCGGGAATTGTTGTTCTTGTGCAAAGCGTGGATCATTTTGGGACAATAGGTGTTGTAGTTGCTCGTCGGACATCATCATATCATCTCGCCGTTGGTAATCCATTTCAAACTCATCTCGACTTTGAAAAGAAGACTCGGCCCGCGCTTTACCTTTGCCTTTGCGTGAAGTAGATCGAGTTGATGCAATCTCCCGCTTGCGGTTGCGTTGGAGATTACCCACATCTACATAATGTCTACCACGCTCCATCTTTAAAATTGAACAAATATTAGCAATTAACTAATATGAGAAATGTAAAAATGTAGCAATTAACTAATATGAGAAATGTAAAAATTAACTACTTTTTTTTTACTTTAATGAGCAATGTAACAATTAACTAATATGAGAAATGTAAAAATTAACTACTTTTTTTTAATTTAATGAGAAATGTAGCAATTAACTAATATGAGAAATGTAAAAATTAACTACTTTTTTTTACTTTAATGAGAAATGTAGCAATTAACTAGTATGAGAAATGTAAAAATTAACTACTTCTTTTTACTTTAATGAGAAATGTAGCAATTAACTAATATGAGAAATGTAAAAATTAACTACTTTTTTTTTACTTTAATGAGCAATGTAGCAATTACCTAATATGAGAAAGTAAAAATTAACTACTTTTTTTTAACTTTAATGAGCAATGTAGCAATTAACTAATATTAATATGAGAAATGTAACAATTAAGTAGTTTAACTAATATTAATATGACAAATGAAACAATTAACTTTAACTACTTTAATTAATATTAATATGACAAATGAAACAATTAACTACTTTAACTAATATTAATATGACAAATGAAACAATTAACTACTTTAACTAATATTAATATGACAAATGAAACAATTAAGTAATTTAATAGATAAACGAGAAGTCTAACAATTAACTACTTTTATAAAATGTATGAATGTGTATATGTCTATATCAATGAGTATAAGTATATATAGTATATATAATGTGTAAATATATTATAAGTAATATATAATATAATGTATAACTATATATAGTATATATAATATAATGTGTAAAGAATTATAATATGAATGTGTATAAGTATATATTTAGAAGTAGATAATTAATATATAAGTAGATATAATAATTATATAAATTATATATATGTAGAAAGAATTTGGAGAAGATGAAGAATGAAGATGATTGAATATGAGAGATTGAGAGAATAGAGAATTTAGAGAGTAGGAAGAGTTGTAGAAGAAGAGGTGTAAAAAATGTATAGAAAATATGAGTATAAATAGTTTTTTTTTGTATACCCCACCCCCACCCCCACCCCACCCACCCCCTAACCCCCCAGACCCCCCCTCCTATGCTCCCAACGGCTATAGAGCCGTTTGGGAGCTCTCCCAACGGCTATGGAGCCTTTAACTATTTATTTTTTTAAAAAAATATGACCGTTGCGGCCCGGACCGGCCCCGGCCCGGCCGGGCCGGTTTACTAAAATGCAGGCCCGGGACCGAACCGCTAGAAGACCGGGCCGGGTGGCCTGAACCGGGCACCAACCGGTTCACCGGGCCGGTCTGGCCCCGCACAGTAGTGGGCCGGGCCGGTTCCGGGCCGGTTGGCCCGGCCTGAGTCCATCCCTATTCTCATATGGAGTTGGGTTACAAAAACAAAGTTTTTTAAAAACAGGGTGGAAAGTCCAATTTGCACAATAAAATGGGGTGCAAACTCAAATCACCACTCATATGAGCACCAAACAACATTTTAGACATTCTTTAAGCAAAGAAGAAGGTGAGAACAAGCATTCTTACAAGATGAGCGAATATGACGGCTAGAGTTTTTCACTTCGGTAATATTTTTAAAAAATCGCCTAAAACCAATAAAATGAAAACAAGTTAGTGTTCGAATTCTGACAAATGCGATGAGAGCTTACTATGAGCGTGTTTGAAATTGATTCTACTTCTACTTTTTTTAAGTAGAAACAAAATCATAATCAATTTTTAAAAGTTGATCTTCTTCAACTTTTAAAAAATTGCTTCTAGACACAATTTGAAGCACTCAGAAATACTTATGCATTTTCATCCAAATACTTCAATATCTACTTTTTCTTACTGAAAGAGTAGAAACGATTTCCAGAAGTAGATCCAAACACCTCTTACGCAAAAATGCATAGAACTCTACAAGTAATAGATCGGAGGGGCACTCACTATCTTTATGGGTGATTAATAACGTCCCGGTTAATTCTGTAGCCGGTTCTGGAGCCTAGGGAATGGTGTCATTCTTTTTTATTTATTTATGAAAACAGGTTAGCTAACGGATTAAGCAGCAAAATGAAATGTTAGATAAAAAGGAAATGGAAATGGAAATGGAAACTCCCCTCTTCCCGTCTTTCGTGACCCAACGTTTTTCTCGAGTATGCAAACCCAGGCGGTGGCCACCCGATTCGTACATCATCCCACGTGGCACAATCCAGAGCCAGCATGGCAGGGGGAGTTGTGGGCCATTCGTAGCGACGAACCGGTCTTTACGTGGTTGGATGGGTGGGTGTGAGCAACGCACTGTAGTCGGTCTGCTAACAAGTTTTCACCGGCAGGTCCGGTCATCGGGTCAATTGTATAAGAACTGGGGGGTTTAAGTCTTTCAGCCACGGATGGATGTTTTTCTCTGAGGTTTTTGTCATTTCTTCCAAGAGAAGGAGAGAGAACAGAAACAATGAAAAGTTGAGGTTGCGTGTTGGGAATTGCTTGGGTGTTGAGAAAAGCGGAACGAGGAAAACTATGTGTTGAAGGTTTCTTTCATGCGTGATCGATGAAAACTGTGGGGGTTTGTTCTTTTCCTAGATTACATTTAGTTTTTTTTTGAAAATTTTTTGGTGATCTCGGATCTTACATTGTGGGTATTGAATTGTTTTAGCGTTTTGGGTTTCTCTTCTGGAAAGCATGGGTTTTGAGTGATAATTCTCTTGAATTTTGACTAAAATTCTTCGTTGCCTGGTGATCACATCTGGCTTCTTCTTTGTTGAGCTGTTTTGGAAATCCTTAAATCTGTACCTCTTCTGTTCAGTTTTGTCTTTCTCTGTTAAAATGCTATTCTTTTCATTTTTTTTAAATTACCCAATCTAACTCTATCATAACTAGATCATGTAGTACGTCAGCCTTTTTAAATCTTTTTCTGCTGATCTCCTTCTCGTGGTTGACACATCCAAGCGCTATTTGATCGTATACGGACTACGGAGGGAGGATTATTTTTTCGTCTTCTTATGATTAACTGATGCTATTTTTCTGGAATCTTTTGTCAGGGTTTATGAAGGGTTTTTTCTAGATCTCTAATTGTACCCGTTTCCATTTCCAGGATCTTATAGGAACATCTTTCTTTTTGTAATATAGGAAGAAGCTTAGCTGGAGTCGAAAGTTTAAAGGATGGAATCCTATATTAATGAATTATTATGTTCTCTCAATTTTCTTAAACTTAGGTGTAGATGGAATTAACATGAATAATATTATTTCTTTTTTAGAATTTCCATTTTGGGGGTTTGTTTTGATGTTTTGATGTGCATACCATGTAGTGTATCTTCCGAGCTGAGCTAGCTGCTTCTAAAAAATTAATACCCTGTTCAATTCCTTATCTTTCTTCCGAAGTTAATGAAAAACCAAAGCTTTCATCAATACTATATTTCATCTTGATCGTTTTATTACAGAAGTAATTTAACATGGAGGCCTTTTCTTCTTTTGTTTTGTTTTGTTTTTGGTTGCAGGTTTTTTCTTGTTGACCTATCGGCAAGGTGATTACAGAATGTGTGAATGTAAATATAATTTAACAAAAGAAACACAAATAAATTAATACTGCTCTATGTATTTTGAGTTCTCTTGGTATGCCTTTGTACATGTCCTTGAGATATGGTGTCTAAGAAGAGGTTAGATTATTATGGATTTAATGGCTACCAGGTGCCGCCAACACCTCGAGCTGCCAGATCAGCTAGGGTAAGCCATCCTCATGGGTTACACAATTGATTTTTATTTTCATGATAATGTCCTTATTAGCCCCTTTTCTTTCAGAGGAGAGGCATTACTCAGAGGAAAGTAGATGACAATCAGATGTGTGCATTTGACTTATTGGCTTGTATAGCTGGCAAGTTACTGGTGGATGGGGAAAGCTCTCCTACTGCTAAAGATAGTAATATCAAGAATGGAGATCTGAACGAAGATCATAGAACCATGATAGACACTTCTTGCAATCAAAAGCAAACATTATTTCCTTCTGATCTTGTTTCACAACCCTCCGTGTCAAATAACTGTTTGAGTGACATTCCACACTCCCCAAACAGTACTTTTTCTAATGTAGAGTTACGTTTTTCAAGAAACCACATTCCTCCTTGTGGGTCTTTTCTTGCAAAGAGGGATGATGTAAAGTTAGGTAGTTGTAGTAGAGACGATGACGAAAATCCTATGAGGTGGGATCCATCCCTGACCTCCTATAATAAAGCTTTCAGGAAGTTATTGGCATGTCAGTGCTGGGAATTGAATCCAAAATCAGAAGATAAGGAGTATCTTAATGCTGGTGAGTCTTGCACTGTGTCATGATATGAATCCCATTGATTTGATTTGATGCATATTTTGAATTTTGATACCGTAATGGTAATACCTACAGATGTGGGTGATTGTTTGAAGCACCAAGTATCTCTCAGAGATTACCCTTACAAAAAAAGGAAGCTTTATACTTGTGGCTCGGTGGGAAACTCATCTAATGGGCCGTCAACCTTATCTGAAAGTGAATGTTTACGTTTTAGTCCTGGTGATTCTCATGGTATGAAATCCTTCCATTAAAGCTTTTATCACCCCCATCAGGAAATTATAAAAAAAAATCATGTAAATCAATGGCTGCTTGGTAGCCATTATTTTCTTACTAGTCAACTTTTGTGTATTTTAAATTGGCTAAAACTGAAAAAGAATTAGGAGTATCATTACCTTTTGGCCCGAGGATGATCATTTTAGCTTCTTTTCCAATATATTTTTTCTTTCTTTTTTCAAAAATATATTTGAATTTTTCTTTTCATAACTCAGCAACTTATCAATATCTATCGTAGTTTTAGCAATTCATTAACTTAATCCATGTTCATCTTTACCAAACCATACAGGCCTTATATTTGGCCAAGCCCTTTGTGTATTTTAAAGGGGTTCTGATGTATAAATGTTTTTCTACTTGGTCAGTGAA